TCCAAGTCAAAGTCAAGAGCACCGAGGCGGCCGGCTGCGCCGAGGGGCCGCTGCCCTGCAAGGACGGCCTCTTGGTGTGAGCGCGCGCGCCGCGCCGGGCCGCGCCCTGGCCGGGCGGAGGGTGAGGGGCTCTCTGCCCGCAGCTGGGGGCACATTCGGGCCGGTGTCGAGCTCGCTCGTCCCTGGCCTCCCGGCAGCTGGCTGGGGTTGAAGGCATTTCCCTCGGGAAAGGCACAGAGAGGCAGAACCTCTTCCCCAACAGGGGGAGGGGCGAGGGAGAGCAGAGGAAGGCCTTCCCAAGCCCTCTCTGCACCCCCAGGGACCCCAAGGCTCCGGGGACAGGGAGGGAGAAGGAAGCAGAGTCAGTGACCAAGAGCAGTTGAGGCCGGAGGCCAGAGGCCGGTGTCCCTAGCCAAGGCAGAGGGTCCCCGGGGGCCGGGTGGGTGTGGGTCTGGACTGAGTTTTCCTGTGTATGAGATCTGAGCTCCGAGGCAGCAGTGTTAGCACAATAAAGAAACTTTAAGACTTGAGACCGAGGTGGCTGTCCATGTTCCAGGGAAGGTTGGGCACAGGGTGGAGGGCCCTGATCGCGGATGGGGGGACTTTGCTCCCCGTGGCACCCCTCATTCTGCACCACCTCCTACCTTCTTCCCTTTCTTAGATCCGTAGCAATCAGAGCTGGAGGCCATCTAATCCTACTCCTTTCGGCAACATACAAGTATAGAAAAAAGGAAAAAAGCATTAGTTCAGAATACCTATGAAAATAGAAAAGATTATATGAGGAATTGGCAACGTGCAATACTCCACCTACCATTTCTAAGTATCCAGTTTTCACGTCGAGCCAAGATTTTATGTTGAGAATAATGTGCTCTGAAAGTCTAGTGAGGCTTCGTATGTTGTTGAAAGCTAAGAGAAAACTTGTCCTTTGGTTGCAAAAGGCACAGGCACCTTGTGAGAGGGAAACAAGGCCATGCAAAAATGAGACTATTGCCTCTTGGATAAAGGAAAGAGCCAGAATTTTAGGGTTCTAAATGATGTCCAGGAAGGGAGGGGAAAAATATTTATGGAGCATATATTATGGAATGCAGTGATTATGGTAAACACCTTTATGTGAACGCTGTTGTTGTTTTATGACAATTGATTTTGTGCTTTTTTAACTTCAGTTGTCTGCAGTTGGTCAACTTGTACAGAGCCGGTCACACAGTAGGTGTTTAAGAGATACTAAGCGAATGGATGTGGCAGCATTACTAAATATTTTATGTTAGAAAACAAGTTTTTAGATATTTTACAGTTATTTTCTTATGATGAAACATGTGATTAGAATCTAGGCCTATCTGCTATCTGACTTTATACTCTTACACCCAGAAGTCGTTGGACATTCCTAGACAGGCTTCAGTTGAATTTTTTAGTATTTACCAGCACTTGCTTTGTTTAGTACCTTGCCATGATATTTACAATGTATTTTTGAGGATGTTTTAGTCATTTTTGGTTAAAAAGTGGAAATCCGTAAGTGCTGTTTAAGTTAATAGAAGTCCTCTCTTGCTTAGTGAGATGGGGAATGCTTAATTAAAGAGCAATATTTGAGATAAAGTTCCAAGGATATATTTGTTAAACAAACAGAAAGTAAAGTGGAGTGTATTCTAGATGTACATGTTGAGAAAGGGATGAGGTGGTCACACAGCAAGGAGGGGGTGCAGACAGGAAGAAATGGTTCCACTAGTCTTTCCACATTCAACATCATCCATGTTGGGCCTTGGAATCCACTTTTGCTTATATAATGCCTACTTGCCTATGATTTAAGAATTTCTAATGTGGAACAGAAACGGTTAGTAGGAGAATCTTGGCTGGATTAATTTCCTTGCTGAGCAAGATTAACGTAACAAGCAAGTGATGTCCATACTAAGTGCCCAGTATTCAAGAAGGAGCCACATAGCTCAATTGGATATTTGATGAATGTGAACGATTTTGTATTTGATGAGCTGATGAGGATAACACAGTGACCCAGATGGGCAGGTATTTGTACATCTGAATTGTTTGGATTGTCTATTTCCCATCTTATATATAATTTATTTATATAGCTTTTTAAAGAGTTCATTTTTTGTTAGATTGTTTGTGTTTTGGTAGCAAAAATAGAGTTGAAAGGATACAGTTTCTGAAATCACTTACTTCATGTCTGCTAGTAGACATGTATCAGAAAAGTGGTGGGAGTTCTGTTATTTCCAGGATAAAATTTGGCTTGTATTACTGTACTATTTTGGTTCCTTGTCTCACAGATACTAGAACTTAGCTTAGACCTCCTTCAGAGTCCTTTTGTTGGGCTTTGTACGTCGTCTGTTTGGCTTGCCTTGATTTTATCTGGCCATCCTCCTTGATTCTTTCATACTGTTTATTTACACTTAACTCTGGAATATTTTGGTGGATGTTTTCAATGTACTCTAGGTCCTTAAGTTGGCTTATGGTAAGTTATTTGGGAGAACAACAAGTTGTTGATGTTATATCTGTCTGTGATAATAACAGAATATTTCCATTTCAATTTGTTGGACAAGTTGCTTGTTGAAATGGATTATAAGATATTGTATTTGATTCTACAAAGCCCAAGATCTCAATATTATTTTTCTGACAGATTGCTGGGTTTGTGTGTGTGTGTCTTTGATTTTTTTTCTTCTTATTTTCCTCTTAATTATGTGTCGGTTAGATGATACTGTTATTTCATATCCATTGTCACATAAATCTGATCATTCATTCTCTTAGGCCAGGGGACTGTTCATGGGTAGAGGTGCACTGTCTGTGGGCATTAATCCTTTTACAGAGTTATACTAGTTCTTGGGAAAGACCTTGGCTGGACTTATGATGACCTGTGTTTACTGAGCATGATGAAGTGAAGCTTAATGTGATTACTCTGAAGTTCAGCATTAAAAAAAAAAAAAATCCTACCTCTTTACTATACAGATGGGGAAACTGAGACTTCTCAAGCTGGACTTTAAATACAGAATCCTACTTTTCCTTTTCATTCCAGATGGTCATAAGAGAGGAAAACGGGGCTATCAGGAATGACCTCTAAATGTTCCCTCACCATTCTCAACATCTTCCTTTCTCCTCCCCTCATCTACCTAATCCTGACTTCTTTCTCTCTCCCAGATGTATGTCTTCCTTCTTAACAGTCATACTCTCTGTTTCAGAGCATACTCTCTGGGGTAGAAAGACCTTCAAGGCATCTTACCCAGCTCCCCGTTTGATGGGAAGGGAATTGACATTTATTGAGCACCCACTAAGCGCCAGATGCTTTTCAATATTTTGTGTAATTTATTTCTTACTTTAGTCCTGTGAGGTTGTGTTTTATCTGAGGCTCAGAGGGATTAGGTATCTTGACCAAGGCAACAAAGATCAATTCAGGATTTGATCTAGACATGTT